AACCTAACTTCAGTGAGATGAAGTGTAATGGAAAAATATTCCTTGAGGTCAGGCTCCTGCTGGTTCTGGTAAAAAAAACAAAAACTCTGTAAACGTCTCATATTTAGCTTTGTGCAACGTGCTGTAGTGTTAAGTTATATTAAAATCCTTCAGGGCAGACTGTGTCTCCAAACAGACTAAACAGGTTTGTCTTCTTTGAAATCTTACCTGCSTGYGTGGTGTCTGTGTTGGAGGCRCCATCTAGTGGCAGACTTTGTCATTACAACCAATTCAGTGCCACTGAGACATTGTTACCATTTTGTCATTTTCAAAAGTTAATCTAAGAGTGAGGGCAGTAAACTACTTTAAAGTTTTTGGTTGTAATGKGACAAAGTGTGAAAAGTTCAAGTGGTCTAAGACTTTTTCCCAGCTGCTTCGAGCAGAAAGTGGTGCTCAGTATTTTACAGAGGACAATGAAGTGTGTCCTACAGCATGAGGCAGGAGCAGAGGACAGAGGAGGCGGCGGTGTGGCTCAGTACGTTAGTAGTATTGATCTTTAAGCTGTAAAGTTCTCTGTTAGTGTTTGTGCTCTGACCATGCCTTTATATTTAATGACTGAAGGTGATGCTGGAGTACACCTGTTCAATAATCCTCCCTTACCTTTTCAGGGCTTGTTGCTTATCAGCTTCCTGCTTCTCTTTGTCCTTCCTGCTATGAAAGAGCCTCACAACCAGGCGCTGCTTCTCACATCACACGTAGAAACAACACAAGTGTTGTTAAAAACAGGCCACTGTGGACCTGCAGCGTGAGAAAACTCCTCCTGATCACTTTCTGTGAAACTTATTACAAACTTTTCATAAAATATGAGAGATTTATTTCCCAGTGAGCCTCAGGTGATGTGGTGGTTATCACTCAGCTCCATCAGTGACAGGTAGCTTCAGGTGGAGGAGCTGAAGTTAAACTTGTTAGAATCTGAGATTCAGATGAGTTTAATCCTGACTGTTGATGTCTGTAAACAGACTCAAGAGGCTCTAAAGCTCCTAAAATAAATGATTTAATTGTGGAAGTGCTGCCTCACAGAAAGAGGAGTTGCTCTTTAAACCAAGTTGTGTTTTATGGATTTTTTTAAATCAAACATACAAACAGGAAATAAAAGTGTGATCATTTAAAGAGAAAAACACAAAGATGGTGGTAAATATTTCTTTGAAGCTTGTTTTGTGTGGCTCTTGTTTCCGTGCTTGCTGTGCAGCAACACTCCACATCCTGACAGGTTTTATGAGCGGAGGGAACACAGTCGTATTGATTTGTGAGTGCAGCGCAAGCAGGTGGTCCGAATGAGCTCTGATGGTCCGGATTTAGGCTGAACGCTCCCACAGGACAGATGCAGGCCTTTATGTGCTCTTTACTGCTCAGTGCAAACACCTCAGGGCCTTATCAGTGTGTGTGTGTGTGTGTGTGTGTGTGTGTGTGTGTGTGTGTGTGTGTGT